ACCGGTAGCCAGGGGTATCAATTTTGGTAAATTATTGGGGGGGGGGGGGCGAAACCAAGGCCCGAACCCCCCCCCCCGTTTTTTCTCACCGGATTAACCCCAACTTATTTTGATTTAACGCAATGTATGTTTTTAATCTTTGCATAATTTATAAGTCTTTAAGTTAGACAGTATAGAACTCATGCAGGATTGGATCCAAGGAGCAGGCATTGGACGCTCGCGTCGCTTCTGATCGGCACGTGAAGGCGCCCCTTGTAGAGGCTACCTTACGGCACCGATGGCGCTCTTCTTTGTCGGCCATGGGAGGCGGCACGCATTTTAGTCGTGGCGGGCGGGGACGGGGTAGCCATGAAGTACTTAGGTCATCCCCATATTCCAGAGCTTTTCACTTTAACCTCACAAACCATTGTGTGTCTTATGGCGCTAGGTATGTAAAATGCATTGCATCGTTTATCCGTTCAGTTGTTACTATTTGAATCTTACGGTGAGAGCAACAATGACTTTTTGTTATGTGACTGATACGAGACGCCACTACGCCGAAAGATAAGAGAAGATAGTCTTTGTGTTATGATAATCCTTTACCCAAGTTTATTTGTAGTAGTCCAGCCAAAAACATTGGGGGGTGGCAAACCAACATTGGGGGAGGGGGCACCTCAACAGGAGGGGGGAGGGGGGCAGGGCCCTCACAAAAGAATACAAATCGACACCCGTGCCAGTAGCGTCGGTGCACGTGTCAGGTATGGTCTGGTGCACCACCTGGCCCATGGCTCCATTCAGGTTACCGAGGCCGCTCTTTCTGAACACTTGACATTTCAGGAACACCTACAGACGAACATTTGGGGGTTAAATCCAGAGGTCACGGGATGCCCCTCTGCTGATGCTGCGCACTCGGAGGTGGCCCTCCAGACTGTTCAGGGCCAGCCCTGGCGCGTGGGGACTCGCTCATCATGCTGGAACCAGATCTTCTCCCTTTCGGCCTTGGAGTCTTGCTCCAGTTGCCTCCAAAATGCCAGCGCACCACTCCTTGATGACCATCGCCGCGGAGCCATTCAATGACGGCAGAATGGCCCGGTGAAGCCGTTGCAACTCGTATGGCATCGTGCTGTCACCTGTGGGCTGTGCAGCGGTCTCCCGACGCCGTTCATCGGCTTCCGCCAGCCTCTGGTGGTGTAGTCGCTCTGCTGCCTAGAGATTGGCTGACATTTTCCAGAATGCGTCGTACGTTTGTGCGACCTCGACCGACTCACTGGGCCTTCTTTTGGATTGATTTGGTTGCGTCCTTGTTAAATACTGGTCTGGTTTTGCGAAGTCCTCTTCCCTTCTTTTTTACCTCTGCCATGTTAAGAAGACCGTGGTGGAGCCTACGCAGTGACGCAGTCGCTGTGGGAAAATTGGTTTCGGTTCCGAGAGCGACGTGCCGACAAATGGCGGCAATGCGGCACCAACGCGTCACGAGTGGCGCATCTGGCAACACCACAGAGAGAGCATGCGTGCTTGGCGGGCGTGATGCCAGCGTTGCCAGGTAAACAGTGCGGGCTGGAGGTCACGTCAATGGAGCGACGGACGGGCCGCTGCGCTGGCACGTGCTGCTATCTGGGCCGGGTCTAGACAGACCTGATTACACGTGCGCTCATGCGGCTAGTGAACCGTCTGAACGAGCGGCATAACCACCTGGTTCGTTTGATTTCTTTAAGCTTGCCGTGCTATTATTATGGACAAGCTCTCTGACATACTGTTGATTTATTCTCAGGTAACATAAAACCTGTTTGATAAGCCCCATGCCTTTACATGTGGCTCCAAATGAGGACCATGCCCACAATACGCTCATTTTGGGGGTCATGTTCACACCAATGCTTCAGACCTGGGCGTTGAGCAGGTTGGTGAAGTGCCGGTCTCTTAAAGATCTACCGCACGGCCGTAGCGCCGGTGCTGCTGTACCGCCGTTTTCCAGGCGGCATTGCCCCCTAGCAAGCGCCATTTCCCATGGAGGGGCTCCTAGTGCGAATCCCCTTTGTCATGTGATTGTGAACACCGCTATCCAGGACGTGCCGTCCCCGACGGGCGCTGCTGATTTTGGACACCCGACCGGGACGAATGTCAGCACCCCGAAATAGACGCTCCTCCTGATCAACCCCCGCTTCGCCGAGCCACTGGCGGCCTGTGGCGACCCAGACCAGCCGCCCCGACTGATCGGACAGCAATACTCCCCGCTACCCGCCACCCCGCTGCCCACTCCCGGCCCGCGGCTCGACAGACCGCAGCGCTCCAGACCAGCCGCCCCGACTGATCGGACAGGAATACTCCTCGCTACGCCGCCACCCCGCTATCCACTCCCGACCCGCGGCTCGACAGAGTGCAGCGCTCCAGACCAGCCGCCCAGATTCATAGGACGGTGACATTCCCCGCTACCCCACTACCCTGCTACCCTGCCGCCCTGCTATCCTGCTACCCGCTCCCGGCCCGGGGCACGACAGACCGCAGCGACCCAGCTCCTAGGTTATGGGCAGTGCACGGCTCATCACGATGCATCGTTGTGGTATTTAAGGATTGATGTCACGTGTCACTGAGCTATTCTTGTGCACCCTGACACCGTTATTCTGTGATCTTTGCGTTAATAACACGCCGAAATATGACGGCAATATGCTGCTGCCAGGCGTCCAAACGTCGGACGATGGCGTCGCTTCCGTAAAAAATCAAACCGAAAATAAACAAAGCCTAGCATTTCCGCTAAATGAGCTCCTGTGCGCTTTTGCAGTGCTATACATGTCCGTCAGAAGCAATTGTAACACAAATATGTGTATAAGAAATGGCTTAGAGCGATGCCTGATTTCTGGTGACACTGAGCTGGACAAGAAATCGCGGACCTCATCCTGTCGTCAACTACCGTCGCAGGCGCCCAAAGTTCAAGCGGGCAGCACAGTGCAGCACTATCACTACCCTCCCTCCATGCCCCCTCCCCTTTCCTTCTTGAGTGACAACGCGGCGCGCTGCAGCAGCAAGCGGAAGAGCAGCCCACCACAGGATGCCCGGGGACACCATGCTGCGACCCGAGCCGGGGTCTGGGCCGGGCCGGCCGGTCGTCCAGGCAGGAATTGAGCGGCAACCGGACCCTGTCACCCAACACGCGGCCCTCCGACGCAGACCTCGCCACCCGACACGCGGCCCTTCGACGCAGACCTCGCCGCCCGACACGCGGCCCTTCGACGCAGACCTCGCCACCCGACACGCGGCCCTTCGACGCAAACCTCGCCACCAGACACGCGGCCCTTCGACGCAGACCTCGCCGCCCGACACCCGGCCCTCCGACGCAGACACCGTCACCCGACACGCGGCCCTTCGACGCAGACCTCGCCACCCGACATGCAGCCCTTCGACGCAGACCTCGCCACCCGACATGCAGCCCTTCGACGCAGACCTCGCCACCCGAGACGCAGCCCTCCGACGCAGACCCCGTCGCCCGACACGCGGCCCTCCGACGTAGACTTCGGCCTGGCGTGGGGAGCGGGGGCCGCTCCAGGGTCAGTGTCAGCTGCGTTTGGCCCGCCACCCGCCGGTCACCGCGGCAGACATGTGCTTAGCCTGGTGACGAGCGACAAGCGAAATGCACTGCTTAGGTGTGGAAACGGGACAGCACCGTCCCAAACTATGGCGACTTCTGTCAAATGTCACAATTTGTGTTTCTATTCTGTGAATTGTTGAAGTGTGCAGAAACCTTCACTCAAAAAATATTAAGGCCGCTACGTTTTGGATGTGGGAGCCTGCGGCGCCCATACTGGAATCCCGCGGGTGAAAGACAGAAAATGGACAAATTTCGCGGATCGAAGACAACCAAGTGCGCTGATCCGTGGCAATGACACAAGAACACTCATGTTCAAGGACAGAATAAGATGAAAGCTCCTCCTGGGAACTCCTGCGACTCGTAAATGGTTTCGCGTGGAGACCCCCAGCCTGCCTCACTCGAGTACTGCACCTTCTATTTTAGGTGATCCATAAAACATCCATCCCTTTCTCACGAGCACTTCCCACCTTTTTCAGCGGTTAGTTCAATCAGACCGGTCCCAGCATGAGGACCGTGTCGGTCCATGTCCACGCCTCTGGCCCAAACGTGTCGGCCCATGCCCACGCCCCTGGCCAAAACGTGTCGGCCCATGCCCACGCCCGTGCCCCAAACGTGTCGGTCCATGTCCACGCCCGGGGTCCAAGAGTGAAGGCCCATGTACTTATACATAACGACCTCTTCATTGGGGTATGCGGGAAAACACCACCGCAAAGCCCCCACGACAGGTCATGCAGATGCGTCACATTGGAGGCGGATTTGGAAACGAAATGGACACGCATTTGTGGGTTGAGCCTTCTGCCGAGGGCAAGGAAAAGGTGCTGGACTAGCAATGCGACCGCATCGGTTACCAGCTCCAAGGCGAGCGCATTGCTTGGTCCAACCGAGGTAACGCGGTAAATTGACCACCAGAGAAAGAGGGCTCTCTTGGCATGGGACGGCCGCGCCACAGCATTGTGTGACACGCACTGATCTCCCGGTGACTTTTCTGACTATTGAGAGCAAAGGACAAGTTTTTCGGTGAACTGGAGCCACATTACCAGGTGGTAGGTTCAGGTCGCACACAAAACGTTCCACTTATCATGCGTTCTGACACAAATACTTGCAATACATTTATCTAAAGCAAGACAGAAAGATCAACTCGGTGCCACCATGGCGTTCTACTTCAGGCCGCATACCGACATCCACCGTTGTGATCTGCGTACCCACGATGGGTCCGAGAAGATATGACACCTCGGAGCACCAAGCTATCGATCGACGCCAGCAACGACGGAGCACTGCTTACGGGACGCTCGTGTGTTAGGAGCCGGTCCGTGCTTTTCCTTTCTGCCCCGGCGACCTACTGTGCTAGAGAAGGGAGGAGAGAAGTCGCGCATCTAGACCGGAGAGCGCATGCGCTTTGCGCTAAGCGTGCCCATCACCAGATGTACTGAGAAAGACTCACTTGTCGGATGAACGGACTCCTGCGTCCCTGCGAAAACGAAATCAAACGAGGGTTAGCATTTCCGAACTGGTCCACCCGCCTGATCATCCAGGTCACAGCGCCACGCCCTTCCGCAACACGCCGTCGTGTCGTAGCGCCTCGTCACCTTCCACGCCGCGGCGCCCCGCTGGGACGGTGGCCGGTTCCGTAGTCGTAGTTGTGTCCAGCTCAGCAGTCCCCGGCTCAGCCCGCGCCGCGCCGCGGACCGGCGGTGTTCCGACGGAGGAAGCGTGCCACCCCGCCGCTGACCGGCGCGGCGTCGGCGGACAGGAAGGCGCTACGCTCCGAGCCGGGCCGAGGCGGTACAGTCCGGTACAGTCCGGCGCAGTCCGGGAATGCCACGTCCAGTCGCGTCCGGGCCGGCCGCGACCGGTCGGCTCCAGACGGATCACATGGGCGCCCGTAGCGATACACAAGCAGCTGACGTCCGGCGCAGTCGAGGTCATGAGGTCACCGCGCGGCGCGGGGTGACCAGACCGGCTACGAGGGGAGGGTGGGGATCGACGGTTTGTTTCGATGAAGTCTTAAAACAGAGACCTGGAATAAGTAAGCGGGCTTTCGTTCTCCTCAATGATGTTACCCCTGCGCGAATATTAGCGCCACTGACGACGACAATGTCCTGCAATAATCATTCAAGCCCGGAGAGGAGAGGGATAAGCTATATATATATATATATATATATATATATATATATATATATATATATATATATATGTATGTATATATGCCATAAGTTAAACATCGGTTGAAGTGGAAAAAGGACTTTCCGCTTAGCGATGAGCTCCAGACGCTTAATACGGGGATCTTTAAACACGGATGCAGGTTTCTGTGGATGAGCTTTCTGCCGCTAACTCAAGCATTCATTAGCCAATCACTTTAGCATGAAGAACACGCGACATGTTTTTTTCTTATAAAGGGAATATCACGCACGTCGTGGTGCACCTTTCGTGGAGCGCCGGCGATTGCAAAGGTCATGCCAGCGCCCCGGGGCCATGGCACAACCGGAGTTCGGGACCAGGTGCCCAAGCGGAAGTGGAAGAACCACTCGTCATTACGCCTACACTCCTCTCCTCCTCCCAAGTGCAGCATGTAGTGATCGAGCAAGACGTTTGAAGTCATTTACTGTCATTGTCATTCATTGAGTCAAGGCATTGGAGTCGTCATTATATGTATATATATATATATATATATATATATATATATATATATATGCATCTATGCATGCGTATATAAGTCGACTGCTCTTGCTTAGACTTGCAAATGCCATACCCAAGCTCCTCAGGTTCCAAGTTTCTCGTCCGAAGTTAATAATGTTTGAAGCGTTCCTTGGAATGAACGGCTACAAACAGCCTATTGGACATCAGAAATGCTTGTCAAATTCGCTTCTGATATCACGAATATCAGCCCTTGCTTTGGACAGGCATGACCTACGGCCAGCGATAACGACCGCGCTTAAGGTCAGGTGACGTCCGAGGGCAGAACGGACTGTGCCGAGCGTTGCGCCACGTCAAAATTTCGCCACCCGGTCTGCCGTTGGCATGCAATCACACGATCAGGTGGTGTGGGCCAGGACCCGCCCAACAAGCACTGCTTAGCGTGAGCTCTGATCCCAGAAATACATCCATCCCAAAGCTTCGGATTACTTCGTCAAAAATTTCGTTTTAGCGTGGTTTTAGATCCGACATACTAGGTCCGTCTCCGGGAGATTAAATCGTTTGCGTCATAAAAATCAATTAGCCTGAAAAGTAAGCAGAACAAGATTTGATCATCCGCACAAGCTAAAGTTCTAAAATGAGAGTCGATGCGACCGTAAACTGTCTGCCGAATAAGCTGATCCCACGTTTAGCACCTGTGCGGCAAGTTCTTTATTAGCATTTAGTGCCAACACAAATAGCGCCTGTTTGACAAGAATGCGTGAAAAATATATGCAAAGTAGGAAAAATATAAGCTTTACGCCGGTGTTACTAAAATATAATAACATATTTGACCGATAAGTATGTAAAATGTGTCATAGGTTTCTAACTTGATGATTAAGTCAAGTACTTCTAAAAATAGCAATGAAGAGTAGTCATGATTTTCCACTCATCTTTCTCGACAAGTGTCCAAACTGCCCTTACTCCGACGTTTATTAATATCAATATCAATATCGATGCATATATATATATATATATATATATATATATATATATGTATATATATATATATATATATATATCATGCAGCAAACCATGTTCACTAAGCTGCCCAAGCTCGTCACTTTTTTGCAAAACTTCAGCGAAAAGCGAAGAAGCCTTCGGTTGAAACCATGACCAGGTTCTGTATCAGCACGACTTTTATCATGAGCAGATCTGATGACTTGCAAACCTAGTTCTTACACTTTTTGTATATTTTTGGAAACATATAATCGCCTGTAGGACATTATCGGTCATGTTTTCAATACCACGAATCATAATATAAAAATAGTATAGTTTGACTATCTTAACTAAAGCGATGGAATGACCAAAACAGGCAACGCTACATTTGTCTCAGAATCCGTAAATAAGCTTGGATAAACGTGCCAAAGTCAATTTACTCACTAACGCAGCAGTGCCCACGTCATTGCCTAGATGCTGACTGCATGCTGCAGTTATATCATCATTGTAGTTATTCTCTCTGCTTTGAGGCAGACAGCTCTGATGCCGCACAGGAAGAGCGCACAAAACGATACTGGGGTTTTGTAAACACGCACCAACATGAGCGTCACCTCTCAGCAGGGTGAAGTGCTTCAAGTGAGTCAGCCCGGCCGCTACAGTGGCAATTCTGACAACGCCATTTGGCAGCGACTCTCACGTAGAAGAAATGTCCCATGGCGCAATCACATGATGGCTTTTTGATGACCGTGTTTACTTAATAGTGGCATTGTGTTGTCTAGGGCAGTCGTTTGCACTTAAAGCCATACCAAATATTTTTATAATTATGATAAATTTACTATTATGATATATATATATATATATATATATATATATAATATATATATATATATAACTACATTATATTATTTCATCACACATTATGCTTGCCTCCATGGCTACAAATGTGGATCATTACCTTTAAGTGCAGAGGCTTCCCGCCTCAAGCCGAATATCCGTCCCGCCTCAGACTGCACGCTGCCCCCCCCCCCCGAGCTTCCCAAAGGCCGAACTTGTTCCCTCTCCCAACTCCCAAAATAGCTCCCAGACTATTAACAAAATCGTGCACTGATTCCTCGCGGGGAACAAGGACCCACCGAGCTGAAAGTTCTTACGCTAGCAATGCTCGACCTTCAAAATGGACCGGAGCCATAACCTTACATAAGGCTCATCTCTCCGTACCCCGTTCTTTGCCGCTCATCAGCCATCGAACAGCCCCAAGGCAGTCGGCCGGCTGCAGCACACGGCGCGCACGTCACCGCCGTCCGCTGACTCATGGCCGCCGCGCCAACCGCCGTGACGCAGCCTGGCGCGGCGGCGCTGCGCAGCTGGTAATTATGACGTCACAGCGGCTTTGCGCAGGCTACCGTCGCCTTTGTCACCGCATGATCGATCACTGACCGCAGACACGCGCAGATACGGGGCATAAGAGCGTGGTGGAAAATACCCGTCCTGGCATTTAACGGAGCAAGCGCCGGCAGTTGTCCGTTGTCAGTTCCTATTTCACAAAGCGCGGGTAAAATCTGAAGCTATGAAAGCTGTGACAAATGTCCGTTTGAAAATGTTTCGAGTGCAAAGCTTTGCAGCAAACTACCTAGAGTCTCTTCCTGATCGCTGTTGCTGGACGCTGTTGATAGGCCATGTCGGGTCGTGTTGGAATGTGCCGTGGCCACATTACGTCCACATTCGGACAGGTCATCAAAGGCCTACTCTGAATATCATACAAAAACAGGTTGCAATAGTGCTGTAGTCCGGAGGATCTTGCCCACCAGGGTGCCCTATTCGGTCATAAGGGTGTCTCAGTCAATGGGGCATTAAACTGCCAAAAAGTACGGGGGCCTTCCTCCTGGGTCCAGGGCAAAGCATGGCGACAAAACCTCCCGCTTAGCTACATTATTGGCCGGTTATTAAACTACCGGCTGGCTTGGGACGGCGATTTACCTTTAAAGGGAATTTTCCACCATTGAAAATACTGAAGCAAGCAACAGATATGATGAAACAAGCTCACTTTAACTATTGGCATACTTTAAGTGGAAAAGGCTACTCTAGGCAGCACAACTATCTGTTTAGCTAATATGTTTTTTTTTCAATACGTCATGGCTTGATCACGTCATCGTCTCTTGCACAACACTGCTTGGGAGCCCATTGACAACCATAATATCTGGAAGTCTTACTCACGAACGCCAGATATGAACGCCTCAACAATTACATCTGCCTTAATCGCCGTATGGCTTATGGAATGACGGGATTTGAATGACGATATTAAGACGTCATGGATGCAAAGGTGGCTTTAAAATACCCTCCCGACATTCTCTCCCCATTTTCGCGGGCGTGTACCTCAGAAACTGGAATGGCTTGGGTCTTAAGAAGGGTAGGGTTGCGGACAGCACTGAACGGTCTTTAAGATAGCTATTTCAGTTCAAAACCTCCCCTGAATGTGGAACACTCCCTTTAAGGAAATCCTCGCGCGTTGACCTACCATATTCAGGTCAAACGCGTTACAGAGATGTCATGCATTTTCCCAAACTATGCAAATGGCGAAAGACGAGCCAACCTCAGCCTGTGGTATTGTCTGGATGATGATGTCGATTTTCCATGACTGTTGTGAAACATGAAGGATACAGTGATATGAGATCGGTACTGACCAGTTATCACTGCCGTGCATCAAGGTCCTTTTAACTTTCTGGAACACGACGCACTTTGACCCTCCACTGGTCAATGGGTTGGGACGCTCTAGACTAAACAAATTAGCATAGCATGCCAAAAAGGCAACCGACAAAAACCCTTTGCGCGTTTCAATTGAAAACAGTGTGCTTCTCATCCATTCATATCGTGTCCTGCTTTTGTCACCATAAAAACGAGGTGGCTCCTGAAAATCCCCCGGATTAATTCCGCTAGACACAAATGCGCCGTGCACACATGGTGCAGCATTAAAAACAGCGATTACGCCAACCACCACCATAGCGAGGTTGCATTTTAAGAGCGTTTTGCATGTATGCGCTTGAAACTTCATACGCATTAAAGAGAATCTGACCCCGCTGCGCGATCGTATAGTGTAGGATCCCGCCTGTTTGCAAAACCCTCAGCCATGCTCGCCGAACAGAGCTCGGATGTGCAAGCGTCTCTCCAGCCTGTGGCACCAAGCACGGACCCAAACAGCCCGGCTTAGGCTGTAGGCTAAGCCAAACAAGGCTTAGTTGCCGCAGCAAAACGGGCTGAAGCGGCCGCTCGCTGCCTTTGGGCATTGGAGCTGCGATTTCGGTGCACACGGCACACACACACTTCGCATTCGTGTCGGCTGCGGCTATTCTCCGATTGTGACATCTCGGCTGCTTAGACAATCCACAAGGGAAGCTTATGATGCTGTGGCCATTCCATCTAGGTTAGTCTTTCCCTTCTTGCATTATCACTGGCTCACATTTATCGTCAGAATCAGCCGCCAGTATTCTCATTAGCGCCGGCCGACAATGTTAATACATTACATTGTTCCATCATCCTGGTGCCATTACGTTCTGCTCTCCCTCTATCGGTTCAATAATGTCCCATCAGCCCCGCTCTCCAACGCCCGGGGCCGAGTCCGGTCCGCGCTGAGCAATCCATCAACTCCGCCGCCAGAGCGGGGCCGAACGGACCCCGGGGTCCACAATCCACCAACTCCGCCGCCAGAGCGGGACCGAACGGACTCCGGGATCCACAATCCAGCAACTCCGCCGCAAGAGCGGGGCCGAACGGACCCCGGGGTCCACAATCCACCAACTCCGCCGCCAGAGCGGGGCCGAACGGACTCCGGGATCCACAATCCAGCAACTCCGCCGCAAGAGTGCGGCCGAACGGACTCCGGGGTCCACAATCCAGCAACTCCGCCGCAAGAGCGGGACCGAACGGACCCCGGGGTCCACAATCCACCAACTCCGCCGCCAGAGCGGGGCCGAACGGACTCCGGGGTCCACAATCCACCAATTCCGCCGCCAGAGCGGGGCCGAACGGACTCCGGGGTCCACAATCCACCAACTCCGCCGCCAGAGCGGGGCCGAACGGACTCCGGGATCCACAATCCAGCAACTCCGCCGCGAGAGTGGGGCCGAACGGACTCCGGGATCCAAAATCCAGCAACTCCGCCGCCAGAGTGGGGCCGAACGGACTCCGGGGTCCACAATCCACCAACCCGCCGCCAGAGCGGGACCGAACGGACTCCGGGGTCCACTCCGGGCACTCACGCCGGAGGGAATCAAGTGCATGCACGCGATTTCCTCTCTTCAATCAAATGCCAGGTATTTCACCGTTCCCATTTTGCGATCCCTCACACACTGTCTCTGCCCCCGTAGTCTTTAACAGCGAGAGCACAGGCCACGCTCTGAACCACTCCAGCGACTCGCCGGTCCCGGAGCACCAGCACGACCCGCTGTCGGCCTCGCTGCGACGCTGACAGGGTCACCCACTCACCAGCGCGCCCCCGCCCCCCCCCCCCCCCTCCCTCCCTGCGGTCACCGCCGCCGGCCGGGTCGATAGAGCAGTCAGCTGACGCGGCGTCGGCGCTCACCTCTGGCTCAGATGCTTCTGCAGTGCGAGCTTGGTCTCAATCTGCTCGATCGGGTAGTGCGGCACCTCGTACGGCGCCGAGATCTCGTTCGGCACCGGGGAGCCCGACATGGCTGCCGTTGTACCTGCCGGCAGAGCGTGATCAGCCCCGGTGGAGGGAGCACGGCGCCGCCGGCGAAGCGAGGGTATCACGGTCCGACCTCATTTGGCCGCCCCTGTGCTTGCTGCGACGAAAGGTGGCCACATCCCATTCAAAACTTGTTTGCCACGCATATGACAGGCACGAGAGCAACCACTTTTTCGTGGTCATCTTTGAGCGTCATTATAAAATGATGGGGTACATGCAGTTGTGATGAGAGGTTGAAGTTACGAGAGAGAACCAATCGCACCAGACAGGACAGTCTCCAGAGCGAACGAGAGCACTAGACTCACGCGATCGCAGTGCACCGCATGCTGTTTAACGTGAGCTTTGAAAACCGTACAGCCACATCCGCATTCGAGTCATCTGAAGGTCGCTGTTCATGGCTTAATCGTTCGCGCCACGGAGCCTGGTGACCTTAATAAAAGCGACAGGTGGGGACGGCTATCCGGCTTTCCACATAGGAAAACCAGGGGCCGGAAAGCAGCCATGAGGGACAGCCATCCATCCTGGTCACCGCGCTGAAGAAAGCCAAAGCCTGTTTGCATGTACGAGCGTGTGGCGGCCTCCACCGGCCTGTGTCCGGGATCAGACGGCCGATGCAGCGCCCGTGGAATCCACGCCGCCGTGTCATCATGCTCGTACAGAGCGCATGGGCTTGGAAGTCAGCGTGTCGAGGCGCTGCGTGATGGCGATGACAGACCCAGTTCTTGAGAAAGACTTGAAAATTCCTGGGTCCAGTAGGCTGGAGCCATGTGGCATGAAGGCTGACTGTCCGGGCCTACGGCAGCCTCACATGCGTGTGTTTGCTTTGCCAGTGCCCTGCGACGTAACTGCGCTACTGCGTCTGAGCCCAATTTTATTTTACTTTCCTTGATTCTCAGTCCAATCTCATTGCGCTCTCTACGATTCTGCGAGCTTTACATCAATGTAGGTAAGTAATCCGCGCCAAAATTTCGAGAAAGTTTCGGTCACTAGCAGCCACCCTGACCGGGCAATAACCAGAATCGCCGTAAGATATGGCTTTCTAAAAAAGAGCCAAGCCATGTCCCATGTGGACCTAGGCCCACAGACACACTTCTGTTGCTTTACATGAGGTTACCTGAGCGTTGTTAAAGCATTTTTTAAGTCACAATACATCTCTCTACGTTTGGCTCAGAAGACCGCAGAAGTGCGTGACGAAATCTATTAACATAGGCGGAAGAATCTACCCTACGATACGAAAGGTGCAAATCAATTTTCCGGCAGGACTATGACGGCCTACAGTTTTACGCCTTGACAGAGACTAACGCCCAGTTCTTAGCTGGCGAAGTACTTACCCGAGGTCGTTACCCATGACGCCATACCAGCGACTGTACTCCAAGACGTGGGGACTGTGTGACGCACTCACCTGTGACGTCATAGATCGCAACACGTGTACAGCGTATGGTGATGGGGGACCGGGCCCAGGCAATTGTATTAGGGATGGAATAATTGTTCCGACCATCGTCTTCGTCCGTTCCTACAGCACCTGACACCAACTACAGCACCTGACGGTCAGATAATTCACTGGCCAAAACGCTGTGTAAATATTGACTCACCATATAGGGACAATAACCCCCAAAAATGTGTCCGCAGCAGATAATTCACTGGCCAAAACGCTGTGTAAATATTGACTCACCATATAGGGACAATAACCCCCAAAAATGTGTCCGCAGCAGATAATTCACTGGCCAAAACGCTGTGTAAATATTGACTCACCATATAGGGACAATAACCCCCAAAAATGTGTCCGCAGCAGATAATTCACTGGCCAAAACGCTGTGTAAATATTGACTCACCATATAGGGACAATAACCCCCAAAAATGTGTCCGCAGCAGATAATTCACTGGCCAAAACGCTGTGCAAATACTGACTCACCATATAGGGACAATAACCCCCGAAAATGTGTCATCCGCGCTATACTTGAAGGGTGATTCCAGACAAGAAATACGGACATGTCAACACATGACAAAATGTGGCCGACATAGGTGACACATATGATACAAATATGTGAAGGAATATTTGTTTAACACGAAGTAGGAACCGCACAGCAAATACGCTTTCTGCCCCAAAGCCTCCACGAGCGGCCCCACCACATGTCCACAGCCTCACTCAAAAGCGTCTCACATGAATGGCATGCATGCAAATGACCACGAGACACACCGGCGCGCCCTTCAAACACCATGTCATTAGAGCAGGCCTCCACCACGGCGCGCTTTCCCGCTTGCCTACCGGGCGCCCCCCGGATCCACCGCATACCTGCTAAGTGACGGTGGACCTCCGCGCGCGCGACCCACCACGAGCGCTTCTGCACACCAACTGGCTCCGCTCCGCGCTGCGCCGCGCAGCCTGGGGGAAACGGGGAGGGGACCGCCGGCCGGCGGCCGACCGGCTGCGGCGCGCCGCCGGTCGGCCGCCGGCCGGCCGCTCCCCCTCCCCCCTGCCTGCCTGCCCCAGTTAATCCCCCGCGCTCGCCGTCCGGTCGCGTGCGTGCCACCGTTTTTTCATGATAAAGCTTACGTTTAGTTGCTGCTGGAGGGATCAAGCATTTGTTCGCTAGAACGCTCTCAACGCTAGATAAAGCAAGAGCAAGAGTAAAGGGATATCGCGCAGCTCGAGTGCCAAGCCATACAAATGATTGTACTGATTCCGTACCGCCCACTCCAATGGTGCCAGGATGTCCACGCACCAGACACCGAGGCGGAAACGGAACCAGGAGAAGACTTCTACCTTATTCTGCAGTGATAGAATCGCTTCTGGACCTGAATCAATGTGAACTGAGATGGTATCGGGGTGTCCGCGCACCAGACGCCGAGGGGGAAACGGAACCAGGAGAAGACTTCTGCTTTATTCTACAGCGATATAATCGCTTCTGGACCTGAATCAAAGTGAACTGAGTCCAGTCCGAATGTGGTTTCAAGTGGGTGTTGAAAGTCGGAATCGAATCAGACTCCAGTGGAGGCGTAGGGGCAGAGAGCGGGGAAGGCAACTGGGCCAAGGCCCCCCACTTTGAAAAGCGGGGAGCCAACAATCAGAAGTGTCACTTTCCAAAAGCAGTAGGTAAACGGCGGCCGCAACCGGCAGGCTGACCCGACCTTTTCCCGAAACTCGAGTTCTTACCGGATTGGGTGCAGGAATTGTTAAGAAATTGTTATTTTTGTCGATTCAAAGACAGTTTGTTGCGGAGGAAGCAGCAAATTCCATTTTTTGCAGTCATAGTTGTCCATTGTATCCCATACACTCGAAACTGTATGCTTATTACCAGCCGATGCAAAGCTACAGTTGTGTAAGAAGCTTAAAATGGGTTGTGATCCTCTGCAAAACCAGCAATAAAACGGCCTGATATGCTAACGGACATGGCTCTTTTTATCGTTTACCGAATGTGTCCCAGACGCAAAAAGTGGTTATATTCAGAATGACGTGATCTGACACCTGCGGACGAGAGGATATCAGGACAATATTTGATGTGCACTGACAGGAGGTACCTTGATCTCGGAATGTAGCTGAATTGGCACAACCTTCTCAACAGGTATCTCGACAACTAGGGCACTGCGCGTAAGGGCTGGGGACCAGTGTAACCCTCTTAAAAGGCCGCGACCGGCGCTTTGGTATGAGTTGAGAAATGCCCATCCGAGACAAGGAATTGTTGGGAAGATGAAAAAGTTATGCTCAATAATGATGTAAGGATATAAAGATGCAGATGTAAAGCAAGCTTCAGTGCATTAACCCTCGAATTGCTGGCGTCGTGGGTTGCTGCAACCTCTTGTACTTCACACGGGCGGTATCCAAAATTTGACACGTCACTAGGGTTGGGCACTTTTCCCTTTGAATGGTTTGGCTTATTGTCTAACTGCACTTTACACTCTTGCTCATCATTTAAACCTTCTTCCTTCCAACCGGCAATTTATGCACAATACATATCACAAACCACACGAATTTGTGCCGGCTATTGAACCGTTTCATCGCTATCAGCCCTCGGCCCCGTCCCCAATAGGCTTTTGATATCCATTCTTGGTCTATCGTTATTAAACTCCCAAGAAAAATTTATCGAATCAAACTGTATTCCATTGCCAACAATGACAACACAATCACGCACAGTCGATCTCGCAGCTCGTGTAATTTTGTAATTCAGTGACAGAGTTTGGAGGCATTAATGCTGGCCTCCTTCTATCGTTTTGCACTGGAAAGGCTACGAAAGACATGAACCGTGCGCTGTTTTCGCATTAAAAGAAACAGTCCAGAGCCCCATGCCTACTAGCTATGTCACGAGGACGTCCGCGCCCGCTTCCACCGCAGCAAAGCCCGGTCATAAAGAGCCCACTGACGGAGGTCCTGCAAACGGCCCGCAACGCTCACAGTCGACGCCCTTTCATTGCAAACAGAAGCCTTGAGCCTGTTGGCGCCGTCGGCGGCATCCATGTGACAGTTGGATAGTCAAAAATGCCTGGAATGTTTAAGTGTTTCAGACCAGCCAAAAGCGATAGGAAAACCAAAACTGTATATCGTTTTAGTTTATTCCAGCACAAACGCAGCCCATTTAAAGAACTTAACAGGATTACATTGGAGACGATCTAAACGAAATTTTCCCTGTCTGACGGTATCAAAGCGGTCATCTATCATTAAATATGATGAAACATGCTCACTTATGACCATTTTTATACTTTTAAGTGGGATAGACTGCTCTATACAATGTAATTTCTCTCTTAAGCAAATATACTCCTCATTACGTCATTGTTTGATTGCGTCACCGTATCTTGCACAACAGTGATTAAAAGTCAATTGACAGCCGTTTTATCTGGAAATCGTGCTCACGAACGGCGGATTTGACCGGCTCAACAGTGATATTATTGCTTGGCTTGATCGCCGCATAGATAATGGGACGGCAGGATTTGAATTGCGTCATTATGGCGTCATGGATGTCTGGATGACCTTTGAAATAGTCTCCCAGAATAGTCTGAACATCGGGGGTGTAGCTCAGAAACTAGAGAGGTTTCGGTCTCAACAAAGCAGGGTTGTGAACTGCACCGAAGGAGCTTCAAGATAGCTGTTTTAGTTCAAACCGCTCTGCAAAGTTGGAACATCCCCTTTACAAACAAATCTGAATACCACTAAGAATGAAAATATTTCTTTCTATACGTTGTTAGAATTGGGTCGGACTTCCGAAGCCTTGACATTGGTTCATTGCCAATCAGGGACGAAGCTACGCAAAATGAGTGCGTATGTGAGTGTGGGGGGGTGGAGGGCAAGCAGTGAAAAATGACCAGCCTCCTCCAACAGACGCCAGCAATAAACGAATTTCTTTCCGGATTTGGCTCACTCTCTGCTCAAAATTAGGGACTGAAGCGTAAGTTGGAGGGCTGGAATCCCCGCCCTCCCCCTCACCTAAATACGTAATTACACCGCTGCTGCCAATTATGATACCTCATTGATTGACTTCAGCGTTTTAAACAAAACAGACGTTTGGAGACAACCATAAGGCTCTGAAGTGAATTTGGAAGTTATGATATAAGTCTGGTGGTGCATACCGCGAAATAACGCACATGCAAATATATGCAAGCGGGGCCAACATACTTCCTTGGGTACCTATTAAGACGAAAGAACTGCCTGTAACCGATTTAGTTCAAACTTGACCAGTGTAAGTGATCAGCTGCAAGCTAACGAGGCATCAAGGGGGGGGGGGGCACAAAAGCCGTTATAGTACAGATTAAGTGTAGGGCGGGTAAACTCAAAGGGTGTGCTAACTTTGAAGACCTTCTGGTGTGCTCATGTTAACCCCATGTTCCTCAAAATATTATCTTGTTAAAGTCGTTTGCGTGGAACATCTTGACTTATTCATTTCACTTTTTCAGTATAATTTGTCATCAGTCTGGTCAGAAACTGATCGTAGAAAGTTGAGCGCAGGTTGCAAGCTTTTTTAGAGGGGATGTTTCACATTTAAGGATATTGAAGAAAGCATCAGATGTGATGAAATAAGTGCACTTATAAGCTTTAATCATAAGTACACTTTTGAACAGAATGCTCCACATGTGAAGATAATTAGGCGTGCATCATGCGCGTTGAAAGAAGTTCGCTTATATCGAATGGCATACTTTCAAGCGAAAAAGACCGTTCCAGATGGCAACTTTTCTCCATTTGGTAGATATACTCCTCAACACGCAATTGTGTGATCGCATAACTGAACGTTTGTATGACGTTCAGGTGCTGTCAAATTGGCTGTGCGAAATCGCTAGCCAGGCACGAACATGCAGTACTTCAACTCGCCGAGAGATGGCAGTGGCGATGCTAGAAGTACAGAGCCAAATATCGTTGTGTGCTCGTGTGTTGGTCCTTTCTCGTGATGTTCTTGCATATTGTTTCGTAAGTTCAAGAGGTTTTCGTTTATTCATATGCTCAGTTATGGCACTGTTCTTAACTTATTGGATGACAAGTTTTATTTCCGTGATAACTTGAATCTTACGCAGATCGCCGAACAGTAATTGTTATACAATTGGCGTCCATAATAGTTGGAAATCGCGCTCACAGACGCCGTGTATGCACGGCTCAACAATTATATTTTTGTTGGCATTGGGTGCCTCATGGCCTGTGGGATGGTAGGAATTGAATGGCTTTGCATGACTGGCAAATTGATTAACTGATTGAACGGCGTCATGCATGACTGAATGGCCTTGAAATAGTCTGCACATATTTGCGGGCGTGTAGCTCAGAAGCTAGGGGATTAAAGGCAAGAAGGACAGTGCTGTGAACTGCACCAAGCCACCTTCAAAAAATTTGCTACAGTTGAAAATCCCATATGAATGTGGCGGAACACTCCCTTTAAACTTGGAACAATAAAGCATGACAGCGTATGTTATGAAATGCCTGCCAGCATTCGCAGACTGGAATAGCATGTGATGGAGTTGGCATGGCAAAGATCAATAAGCACTTTTCACACCTGCATTGGTAGACAGGGAATTAAATTGGCCCAACTGAAGCGTACGAAAATCAAGATAAACCAAAGCAAAACTACTCGTTTTTCGTGGGATATATCAACAAAGTCTGTAAATATTATGTCGGAAGCGATCCAAAAGTTGTGCTTCATTTTTCAAACAGCAAGCGCCCCCACTGGAATGCTGTATGACCTGATGTCAATCCATAAACGGTCCGCAGAATTGGCCAGGGTATTCCCCCCTCCTGATCTGGCCGGGGCTGTCCGGTAAAGCCAGGCGTTAGGTGTCGCTGAAGTAATACGTCGCTGGTCTGAGGCTGCCCCTCTGGTGGCAGCACGTCATGCTGAGCTTACCTCGATACATCGGCAGTGCGGTGTTCCCC